CCCTTCCTGAACACAGTGCTATCTCCCTCCAGGCCCAGAGTAAACCTCTTCAAGGCAGAGTTCCAACACAGTCATGTTTGTCCCACAAGAGGTAAATTGGTGATGGTCTGTGACGGACCATTCTAACTTGAGTACCAGGAAGGAATGAATGCTGTGACCAGGAGAATTTTCTCAGCACTACACTCAAAGGACTTCAGAATGGGAAGAGAGTTTTAGAGATCATCAGTCTTTCCTTCTTGTGGAGGGGAAATCATGGCCGTGTGAGGCAGTGACTTCTCCTGGGTCATGCAGCCAGTGTTGGCATGTGCAGATGCAAGCCAGAGTGGTGCTCGCTGTGTTGTCCTACATCTGTGTTCCCCTGGTCTTTGGCCCTTTGCCTCCTACCTCCCAATCATGGTTCTAATAGTGATGAGAATAAAATGTGGCACAAAAGTGATGAGACAGGCCAAAGGGAGGAGTGGATAAAGGAGTCTGTAGGGTGCCATCTCCTGCATTCACGTCCCTTAAAAAACAAAATGCTTTTTAAAATTATAATTCTTATTTTTTAAATCATTTTTACATTTATTCATATGTGTGTACATTGTTTGGGCCACCTCCCCCCGCCCCCGCCCCCACATTCAAGTCTCTTGTCCACAAACACATAAGGTGGCTGGTGGTGGATATTTCTGATAACTAGAAGTTATGAATGTCATCATTGTTACTGATAAATATGACTGTGGGCAAAATGGGATGCCTATAAAGTCTTCCTGCCCCACTGTGTACCACATGCAGTGGAGGACTTTTTGAGTCTTTTAGTTCTCTGCTGATTTTGACAAATCACAACTTGCTGCTTCTTAGACTTCTGTGACATGGCCCTTTAATTTTCTTAGACCTCTTTGGTTAGTTTCTTATAATCTTTATGCCAGCCTTTTGCACGTTGGTGCTTCAGAGCTCATCGAGAGCCCCCAGTCCATTTCTGCCTATGGACTCTCCTTGTATGCTCTTACCTGCTTACTACCACCTGTGTGCTAATGGCTACCAAAACCTCACCAGCTGCACATCCTTGAACCTCGCATTGACACTCCACTATCAGTGAGTGTTTCCACTGAAGGAGCTCAGATGCTACAACAAATTGGGAAGGAACTCGGCACCCCACCCTCACAAACGTGCTTTTGGGGTTTTGGCTTTGTTTTGTGCCCACCACCTTCACTGTATTTATTTTCAGTAATAATCAAAATTTCAGAAAACGCTTTGTAATTATTTATCTAAAATACATACCCAAACATGGATAGACAGAAATAATACAGGTCTGTCAATTGTCTGAAAGTGAAACCTGTTCCCTCCATTCCTTAAGCACCACATATGACTCTGTCAAGTCACTTTCCCCATATTTCTCCACATATTTTATTAGCACGTACTGATTATACAGTGTATGGGGGGTTTATTGTGATACTTCCACACTTACTATGCTTTGATCATATTCACCCCCTCTATTTACTCTTTCTTAAGCCCCTATCCTCACTCCCCTTTTCTGATCTTTGTTGCAATTTTTTAAAATGGGGTTATCATTGACCTTTTCATACATACATACATACATACATACAATATACTTCAATCATATTCTGCCCCATCTCTTTTCCCCTCCCACTAGTCTCCTAACCCCAAATAGTCCCCCATTTACATCATGTCCATTTTTTCTTTAGCTCTAGCTTCTGTGTATGAGAGGATACATGGTATTTTTCCTTCTGCGTCTGGTTTATTTTACTTAACATGATGTTCAGTTCAATCCATTCTCCTCCAAAAGATATAATTTCATTCTTTATAACTGAATAATATTCCATAGTGTGTCTATACCACATTTTCTTTCTCCATTCATCTGTTGATGGGCACCTAGGCTGATTCCACAGCTTGGCTATTGTGAATAGTGTTGTGATAAATCTAAGTGTGTAGGTATCTCTGTTATGTGCTGACTTTGATTCCTTTGGGTATATGCCCAAGAGTGGTACAGAAGGATTATATGGTAGTTCTATCTTTAGTTTTTGAGGAGCCTCAATACTGATTTCCATAGTAGTTGGACTAATTTATATTCCTACCAATAGTGTATAAAGATATCCTTTGATGTGCAGAAGCCTTTAAATTTGATGCAATCCCATTTGTCTGTTCTTAATCTTACTTCCTGAGTTGTTGGATCATATTCAGAAAGGCATTGCTTGTGCACTGACTTCAGGTGTTTTCCCTGTATATTTCTCTAGTAGTTTCAAATTTTCAGGTCTTTGATCCATTTTGAATTAATTTTTGTACAGGGTAAGAGATAGGAATCTGGTTTCAGTCTTCTACATGTGGATACCTAGTTTTCCCAACACCATTTGTTGAAGGGTCTGTCTCTTCTCCAACATACGTTTTTTTGGCACCTTAGTTGAAAATCAGATGGCTGTAGCCATCAGGGCTTATTTCTGGGTCTTCTGTTCCTTGGTCTATGTATCTGGTTTTTTTTTTTTTTGCCAGTTCTATGCTGTTTTTGTTACTATGGTTGTATAGCATAACTTGAAGTCAGGTATTAGGACACCTTCAGCATTGCTTTTTTTTTTTTTTTACTAGGATCGCTTTGGCAATTTGAGGTCTTTTGTGCTTCCATGTGAATTTTAAGATTGACCTTTCTGTTTCTGTGAAGAATGACATGTAAATATTGATGGGGATTCCACTGAATCTGTAGATTGTTTTTAGTAGTGTAGCCATTTTCACAATGTTATTTCTTCCAGTCCATGAATGGGGGAGTTCTTTCCATCTTCTAGTGTTTTGTTCAGTTTCCATTGTAGATTAGTTTATTATTAGGGTTTGTTTTTTTTTAAAGGGGGAGAGAGGTTTGAGGCCATTATGAATGGGATTTTTATTCCTGATTTCTTTCTCAGCCTAGCCATTACTGATACATACGTATTTTTTGTTTTTGTTGCAGTACTGGAGTTTGAACTCAGGGCCTCCCACTTGCTAGGCAGGCAGGCACTCTACCACTTGAGTCACTCCACCAGCCCTGTTTTTGTGTTGGGTATTTGTTTTTGTGATAGGGTCTTGCAAACTGTTTGCCTGGGATGGCTTTGAACCATGATCCTTCTGACCTCTGCCTCCTGAGTAGCTAAGATCACAGGTATGAGCCACCTGTGCCTGGTGATTCTTTAATGTTAAAGAATCCTGCTACTTTGCTGAAAGTGTTTATCAGATCTAAGAGTTTTTTGATGGAGTCTTTAGCATCTTTTAACTGTAGGATTATATACATGCAAATAGAGATAATTTGACTTCTTCCTTTTCTATTTCTATCCATTTTATCTCTTTTCTTTTGCCTTATTGCTCTGGCTAGGAATTCAAGCACCATATTGAACAAGAGTGGAGAGAGCAGAAGCCCTTATCTTGTTCCTGACTTCAAAGGAAATGCTTTCAGTTTTTCCACTTTTAGTATGATGTTCACTATAGGTTTGTTGTATATAACCTTTATTATGTTAAGGTACATTCCTTCTGTTCTTAGATTCTTCCAGCTTTTTGTCATGAAGAGAGGTTGAATTTGTCAAAGGCTTTTTCTTTATCTATTGAGATGATCATGTGATTTTTGTTCTTTAATCTTTAATATTTATGTGCTATATTATGTTTATTGGTTTCCATATGTTGAACTATCCTTGTATTCCCAGAATAAAGCCAATTTGATCATGGTGTATGATCTTTTCAGTGTCTTCCTGGATTTGATTTGCAAGTATTTCATTGAGAATTTTTGTATTTGTGTTCGTCACGGAAATTGGTCTATAATTTGTTATTATTATAACCAGTTTTGGTATCAGTATAGTACTGCCTCCATAGAATGATTCAATAGCATTCCTTCACTTTGTGTTTTAGGAAATAATTTGAGGAGAATTGGTGTTGGTTTGAAGTCAACAGTGAATCCATCCAGTCCTGGGCTTTTCTTTGTTGGGAGAAACTATTACTGCTTCAATCCCATTGCTCATTATAGATCTGTTTAATTTGTTTATATCCTCTTGGTTCTATTTTAGTAGATCTGTTTCTTCTAACTTTTCCAATTTGTTGGAATGTAAGTTTTTGAATACTTCCTAATGATTTTTAAATTTTTATTGGTATTTATTGTAATGTACTGTGTTTCCTCTCTAATTTTATTAATTTAGATCTTTTACTCTTTCTTTTGGTTAGTTTAGCTAAAGATTGTCAGTCTTGTTTATCTTTTTAGGGAATCGACTCTTTGTTTCATTGATTCTTTATTATCTCCATTTCATTAATTTCTGTATGATCATGATTATTTCTGTCTACTACTTTTGGGTTTGACTTGTTCTTGTTTTTTAAAGAACTTGAAGTGCATCATTAGATATTTATTTGAGATCTCGCTGATTTTTTTTAATGTTAGGCACTCATAACTTTAAATTTTCCTCTTCACCTGACTTTACTGTATCCCAAAGGTTCTGGTAAGTTGTGTTTTTGTTTTCATTTGAATGTAGGAATATTTTATTTCTTCAGTGACCCACTGATCGTTCAGCAGTGTATTGTTCAATCTCCACGTGCTTGAATATTTTCTGTAGTGATCTGATAAGACTTAAGTTATTCCAATTTTCTTATATTTGCTAAGACTTGCTTTATGTTCTAAAATATGATGAATTTGGAGAAAGTTGCATGGGCTGCTAAAAAGAATGTGTACTCTGTAGATGTCTGTTAAGTGTATTTAATCTATAGTGTTGTTTAATTCTGAAGTTTCTTTGTTGATTTTTTTTTTTTTTGGTCTGTATCACATGTATTGGTGAGAGTGTAGTATTGAAGTCACATATTATTATTGTGTTGGGGGGGTCTTATCTGTGCTTTTACATCTAGTAATGTTTGTTTTATAAAATTGGGAGTGCCAGTGTTCAGTGCATATATGTTTACAATTGTTTTAGCCTCTTGATGGATTGTTTCCTTTATTAATATGAAGTGACCTTCTTTGTCTTTTCTGACTAATTTTAATTTGAAGTCAGCTTTGTCAGATAGGAGTATAGCTACTCCCACTTGCTTTTGGGTTTCATTTGCTTAGAATATCTTTCCATGCTTTCACTTTAAGCCTGTGTTTGTCTTTGCCATTTCTTGTGGGCAAAAAATGATTGGATATGGTTTTTTAATCCAAACTGCTAGTCTGTGTTTTGATTGAAGAATTGAGACCATTAACATTCAGAGTTATTATTGAAAGGTATGTAATAATTTACTTCCTTCCTATGCACATCCTGCACTTTTTCCCTGCCTGACTAATACTTAACCTGTTTGGAAAGACTCGATTGTCTCCTCAGAGGTTCATCTTCAATGAGGACCCTACCTCCCTGTGATTTAGGTACTATTCTTGTGTGTGTCTCTCTCTCTCTCTAGTGTCACCTAGAATAGCACACTGTAGTATTCTGTTTATGTGTCTGTCTCATCCACTAGACTGTAAGATGTTTGAAATCAAGGGCTGTCTCATTCCTTTTTCCATGCCTGGATGTGCGTGGAATATCTCAGTGTACATTTGTCAGGTGCATGAGTGCCACCACTTGGGAACTCTGCTTTGGAAAAGAGTATATTTCTTGGAAAATACTTGTAGATACCAAATTGCTGACCATTTCTCTCTCCCTTCCTTTCTTTTTGCTAGATTAAGGTGACAGTGTCTGGTGGATCAGCCGCCATTCCACCACCCCTCTGCTGGGGGTGCTGAGTGGTGGAGCATGGAGGACAGCAAGCACGAGATGATAAACCAAGCTCATGTCCTCTTCGACCGATTTGTCCAGGCCACCACGTGCAAGGGAACCCTCAGGGCCTTCCAAGAGCTCTGCGACCACCTGGAACTGAAGCCTAAGGACTACCGTTCCTTCTACCACAAGCTCAAGTCCAAGCTCAACTACTGGAAGGCCAAAGCCCTCTGGGCCAAACTGGACAAACGGGGTAGTCACAAAGACTATAAAAAGGGAAAAGCATGTGCTAATACCAAGGTAAAAGGCCTGGCTGCTCTTTGCCCTGGGGTCACTGTCACAGGATTTAATCTGGTGCTAATGAGAAGGATTGAGTAGAGGTGGACAGGGTGAAAAGCAGGCAGAGTATGTCTTCAGCCTAGCTGAAGAAGTTAAACTTAGACCCTGCTCAAACTTTGTAGATCTGTTACTTATGTTCATTGGACTCTATTCTGAGTATATTTCCTGTATTTACATATTGGACATTCAAAGTTTCAACTATTTAAAAATAACCCTGAAGTCAGGTGTATAGAAACTTTATTTTGCTGAAGCTTCACTTTGAATCTCACACTGTTAGGAGGATGCAAGACACTTAGCAAGGATGTAGTCAGGCCCTATTAGTATCCAATCTGAACATGAAATTCTTGGCATGTTGTCTTTACAGAGTCCCCATTCCATACCCAGCACCTGGTCAAGATTTGCCACAAGCTTCAGACTTTCCTATCCATATTCTAAAGGTCTGTTTTGAGTCACAAGCAAGGACCTTATGAACCAAAGTATTTCTGTTGCTTTCTTCACAATGTAGAGAAATAAGATTTTGATGAAACAGGTGAAGTAGGACAGAGTCCTGAGATGTGTATTCACCTTTGTGGGGTAGGTGTGAGGAAGTAGAAAGGGAAAGAGACATTTCTTGAGTCCCTCCTCATAAGAACATGTTCTGTGAGAAGTTTGGGAACAGAAGCAGGGAAACAAATTTGCAGATGACTTCAGGGCTATTTTATTTTAGCCTTTCATGATCTTTGATTTGTCTTGTGTGGATACCTAGAGACCCACTTCAGTGGAGAAATTTGAAGGGCATGACCTTTATGAGTGATTATTAGACTTTAATAAGAATAAAAGGAGGAGCTGTGCACCAGCTCATGCCTGTAATCCTAGCTGCTTGGGAGTCTGAGATCGGGAAGATCACAGTTCAAGATCAGCCCATGCAAACAGTTCCTGAGACCCCGCCCCCCCCCCTGCGTCTCCAAATACCCAGAGCAAAATGGACTGGAGGTGTGGCTCAAGTGGTAGAGTGTCTACTTTACAAGTGCAAAGCCCTGAGTTCAAACCCCAGTACCACCACAAACAAACAAGCAAAATAGAAGGAGGGGTTGGGCTTGCCCTGGTTCCATTCTCAGCACAAAAAAAAAAAAAGAATGCAAAACCACAAACATTGCATGTTTTCCTTCTGTGCATACAATGCAAGCTAGTTATGGTTGGTATCCCATCTCACCCAAGTACTTCTCTAGAGTGTGTATTTTCAAGAGCATTTCCCTGGACTTTCAATATGTAAATGATGTTTTAGAACTCTTCAGCACATGAAATTTTGGCTTTTGAAAGTTCCTTCCTAGGAATTATTTATGTGGTAGAACCATTCTAAGACTCAAAGATTGTCTAGACCATATATTTAATAATCCTTGGCTCTTTGGGTAGGAATTTGTAAGATTTTGAAATCTTCCAAGAGGTCCTCTCCTGTCAGTGAAAAAGTAGATGTGATTTTTGTATCATTTCTTGAAATGATCCATTTAAATAAGATCTATGTCTTTTCCTGGCTGTCCACAGTAGTCATGTGCAGGGTTTATACCTCACATTGACAGTTCAGTCTTTTCCATCCACAGCTATTATGAGTTCTTTTTTTTTTTCAATCCATTGCCAGTACCCTGCTGTGATACAGACAAACTCGAACATTTCTTAGTAGTGAGGAGAATGTCCTAGTTGGGGGGACTTTCAGGAATGACAGTTATGAGATTATGAAACAACCCCAGAAGTGGGTTTTGAGAAATGCAGCCTTTGCCTTAAATACAGCTGTGTTTTTCAGTGTCTCATCATTGGAGCTGGTCCCTGTGGTCTCCGCACAGCCATTGACTTGTCCTTATTGGGAGCCAAGGTGGTTGTTATCGAGAAGCGAGATGCTTTCTCCCGCAACAATGTCTTACACCTTTGGCCCTTCACCATACATGATCTGCGAGGTCTGGGTGCCAAGAAGTTCTATGGCAAGTTCTGTGCTGGAGCCATCGACCATATCAGTGAGTAAATACCAGCTGTCCTATAGGATCCTACTCCCTGCCCACATATTCAGTAGGCCTAGAAGGTTATCTGAGAAATTGCTACGCAGTAACCAATTTGTTCTGATCTCATTGGTATCTGTTGTGAAACTTGAAGTCAAAAACACCTGCCACCTGTGGTTCTGTAACCTTGAACTGTGAGCTACAAGTAGATCCCCCATGCAAGGAGGAGTTTGGTTTAAAGGTTTCTCACTTGGTTCTTGGGCACTTGCTCTGTACTTGTGGTGTCTGGGGATAGACAGGGGCATATATCCGAGGATCAGGTGGCCAGATTGGATCTCAACTTTCTGGTGGTTCTTAGTTCAAGGGATGACGTACTGTGGTGGTAGCTCTCTGCAATATATCTTCCACATGTTCTACTAATATAAGAAGATAGTGTTACAAGGATGCAGTCCTAGGAAGCCATACTTACGGGAGCAGTGTACTAGTTTGGTCATGAGCGGATTCCTCTGATTGGCAGTTCTTGTGAAGTCACAGCCAGAACCAACTCTTGCTAGTCCCTTGTCATCTGCAAGCTCATTTGGCATCTGAGCTTTCCTGAGATGATTTTGTTTTTGTGACTGTAAGTGCCCTATCTGGAAACCAATTCAGAGCAGACATGAAGGTGGGGCTCAAGTAGTAGAGTGCCTGTTTTGCAAGCACAAAGCTCTGAATTCAAACCTCAGGCCCAATTAAAAAAAAAAAAAAACTCAATTCAGAACGGTGTCCATTGTCTGCATTTTGAAGTGGTCTTTTTGTTTAAAAAGAAATTGATTATCATTAATGATTCCAGGGAACTTTATCAATGAACCTTCATTCTGAGCTTCTCCAGATGTGTCCCATAAATGTATTAACCCACTGGGCCTTTTGCTGTCTGAAGTAGTTGTGCCAGTTAATCAAACACTAGCCTGCAGCTGCCACATTCTTGCTGGCAGATGAGGTGTTCTGCCCAACTGCCAGGCTGTAATTTGGAAAGCGTTTTGGAACCCACAGTTAATCTGCAGAAGAGAAATGTTTGCTAGCAAAGACTCAGTGAGTCTTTGGGAGTGCAACTCAGAAGGGTGGTAATTGTGGCAAGCTATGGAAGATAACTTACTAAATTACTTAGTGGTGGATTTGCATGTGCTGCTACCAAACTAGTCAACTGTAGACCAGTAGGGGTGGTAAGTGGATGTGGTTGGATTGTGATTTCCCTGTGCACCTGGTGAGAGAGTACATGAAGGTCAATGAGGAGACCTTCAGATCCCCGTGAGCATCTCCCAAAGATGCCATGAGCATCTCATGAAACGATGCAGCAACTGCAACAAGCTGTGGGAAGCACACTGTGGTGCACTCTCCTGTTCCCTGTCAGGCCTGCAGCTGCTGCTGGTATTAGTGGCTCTGACTAGATCAGGGGAAGACAGAAGGGAGAATCTCCTGTTGACCACAGTCCCATGTTGTCTCTTACCTTTGGGTTGTTTAGAATAACCAAGAGGTGGGGGTGGCCTTGCATGAAGTTAGAATGTCTCTTCCATTGGTTATGTTTACCCATAAAAAGGGGGAAAGAAGCTGGAGAATGTGGCTTAGAAAATGTCTCCTGCTACAGCAGACTTTGAGAAACCTGAACAAAAAATGCATAGGTAGGGGGGTGGGAACCTGGGGAACGAACACTGGTGGGTCCTCTCTTCTCCATCTCCTCTTGCCAGTGTAGTCTTTGTATTCACCCAGGTATCCGTCAACTCCAACTCATACTCTTGAAAGTAGCCTTGATCTTAGGCATCGAAATCCATGTCAATGTGGAATTCCAAGGACTTGTGCAGCCTCCCGAGGACCAAGAGAATGAACGTAAGTTGGATTGAACAAGTGAAGAAGGCAGAAATGGGCTGAGTGGGCAAGAACAGATGAGATAAAAGGAGAAAACTAGAACCTGCAGGTGGTTTTCAGAACTAGTTAAAGGGACTTCATTCATGCAGCCTATAGCTTTGAGGACTTTGGGTTTAGTGAGGAAGAGGCCTTTGATGTAGTGTTAGACTTTGTAGGCATTTGTATTATAGAAATTCCAAAGCAGAAAAAGTGCCTTTGTGAGCCCTCATCAAATTATCTTTCTGTTGGGGGCTTGTCCCCATACTTTTATACTTAGTGTTTTGGTTTGGGATTTTCTGCAGTCTGTGTATACCTGGGTATATTTGAAGTGGAAATTTGGTCTGGTTCATTATCTTCACTCTGTCTTCGGTTCACAGGGATAGGTTGGCGGGCACTTGTGCATCCCAAAACTCATCCTGTATCAGAGTATGAGTTTGAAGTGATCATCGGTGGGGATGGCCGAAGGAACACCTTGGAAGGTACTAGCTTATTTACTTTTGCCTGGTTCATAGCAGAGTAGAGTCTGTGCTCCCAGAGTCCATATCCCTAAGCATCTTCACGTGTGCTATCTATTTTAATTGAATGCCTGCTTGGGATACTTCCTATAGGGTACTCTTGTTAGGGTACAAGGAGATGAGCTGTACTTTGAGGAGTGGCTTTATAGGATTTAATGTACATATTAATAAACTAGCACCCTTTCACCTCTCTTTTTTTGTTCTTCAAATTTTATTTATTCTTTTTTTTTTTTTTTACAGTACTAGGGCTTGAACTCAGGACCTTCACCTTGAGCCACTCCATCAGCCCTATTTTTGTGAAGGTCTTTTCGAGATAGGGTCTCTGAAACTATTTGTCCAGGCTAGCTTTGAACCATGATCCTCCTAATCTCTGCCTCCGGAGTAGCTAAGATTACAGGTGTGAGTCACTGGCATCTGGCTACCCTTCTCCTTTTAAATGGGATTTTCAGTACTGGTATCCTGTTCAGACAGATTTCATATTGTTTTGTTTTATTTATTATTTGTTTATTTACTTATATTTTTGTTGTACTGGGGGTCAAATTGTTTGTTAATGATATGGGAGACAGGGGGTGGGGGCAGAGGGGAGAAATGACCCAAGCCTTGTATGCACATATGAATAATAAAACAATAAAAAAATAAATTAAAAAAAATGATATGGGAGACATTGACTTCATTCCTGAATTGTTACATATTCTTTAGTAGGTAAGGAGCTTATTTTCAGAAGAACAGCCCTAAAATTTTTCATTGATTCTCATCCCCCACATTCCCTAATGTCTTCAAACTTCCTCATTTGAAATGATCATCCACTCTAGCCAACTATTTCTACCTCTGAAATTTTCTCTCCCTCCAGGATTTCGTCGGAAAGAATTTCGTGGCAAACTGGCCATTGCCATTACAGCAAATTTTATTAACCGAAATACAACTGCAGAAGCCAAGGTAGAGGAGATCAGTGGTGTGGCTTTTATATTCAACCAAAAGTTTTTCCAGGAACTGAGAGAAGCCACAGGTTGGTATAGATGCCCCAGATCAAAAAGGACAGACATGGGAAACCACTAGTTACTTTCCTCTAGGGGGTTTTAGAGTGGGTGACCTCAGTGGCACTATTGTGTTATTGCCCTCTCCTCTTTCATCACTCTGTCCTTTATTCTTAATATAATATATGTGCCCATGCACTCTTTAGCACAGGGACTGGGCTGGGCTGCTTTGGGTTTGGTTTTTATTTTCTTTTAAACTCATCCCCAACCCCTTACTTCTGCATTGCAATGCTGAGTTGTGTTGCTGGATGGAGCAAGCTTCCAGTTAGTAGCTATCTGATTTTTCTTAGAATCTAACTTCAGGTATTAAGAATATAACCCACCAGGTACTGTGGCTCATGTCTGTAATCCCAACTACTTGGGAGGTGGGAAAAGGAGGATGGAGTTCAAACTTCATTTCTTCCAAAAAAAAGTAATCTTCTTGAGTTCCAGTTTGAGGTCACAATCAAACACAGCCTAGGTAAGAATGAGATTGTTGTATGACAGCATTTGAATAGATTGACTACATACTTTGCTACAATCAAAAAATTATCTTCTTTTTCCTAAAATTTGAATTCTTTCCATTACATTTAATTTTTAGATTAATTAAGTTAAGAAGTCAGTAGTTTACTTTGCTTGCAGACATCTATCCTGTTTGTAAGAGTAGGAGATTCCTTCAGCTTCCTTAATGACTGTCAAAGAGGTTTAACCTGGTAACTAACCCATATCCCCTTGTAGAGGTTAGCCTCTTTTTTGTTTTGGTTTGTTTTTCCCTTTCTTATGTTTATGTTTACTTTTGCTCCTTTTTTTCAGGATAACCTAAGGTGCCGAATGAGTTACAGAACAATATCAAGGGAAACAAAACTTCCTTAATTTTATGAACTAAATGTGCAGAGTGTGAGAATCGGGCTTAAATATCTTTCCTGCCTCCAGTTTTTCAGCCCTGTCTCCTAGACCCAACTGTAGTCTGGCACCCTAATCTCCTAATCTCAGCAAATACTTATAGCACTTTTTTTTTGTTGTAACAGGTATTGATTTGGAGAACATCGTCTACTACAAAGATGATACACACTATTTCGTTATGACGGCCAAAAAACAGAGTTTACTGGACAAAGGGGTGATACTGCATGTGAGCACTAGATTTCCTTCCAACCCCAGCCCCTTTTTTGTTAACTGCTTACTATGACTACCAAGAGAAAGAGTTTTATTGTCTGATGGGTTTTTTCCTTCAAGGAAATAAAAGTGAGCACTGAGAACATCTGCTGGAAACCCATTATACTTTTTAATTGAACTTTTAAAAATATTTTACTAATGAAAATTGAAAATATAAACAGAAGTAGGGAGAAGAATATAATGAACTTAGTGTGCCTATCATCTGGCTTTAACATTTACCAACATGACCAATATTATTTCAATAATACTCCAGCTCACTCCCCACTCCTGCCATTGGACTGTTTCATAGCAAACCTCAGGTATCACTTCATGCATAAATATGTGGTTTGATTTTAGGTGATTTTGCTTGTGGTTATATTCAGTTGTATATCTATTTGGGCCATAGATCCTCTTTTCGGTGGGTGAATGGAGGTGACAGGGAAGAATTGGACCCATAAGCAACACTTGGTGTTTATAACAGCCTAATGATGGCTCTGGTTTTACTATAGATATGTTCATAAGAGGTCCAGGCAATCCTGAGTAGTTCAGGCTACATTTTGGCCTCTTTCTGACTGAACAGTTGCCCAATATCCACCCTCAGCCAGGTCTAGCCTGGCCTTTTTTCTAAGTGACTAATTGTATGATATGCCCTGAGGTAATGATGTGAAATCTGAGAATCGCAGTGTGGATGGTTCCTTTAGGAGAGCGACTGAAGTCTTATTGGTGTGAATGTTAGAATTACTGTCATTCTTGTCATGTGAGGAGACAGAAGCAAAGAGGCCTCAGATGTGATGATTCAGGCCTGTACAGTTCCCCCCAGACTCAAAGCTGAACTTAGGGAACACTTTGTCTCTGCAGGAGTATAATGCAGCAAGTCCCTTTGATATGAGTCACACTACTCCCTTATCTGGGAGCAGAGTGGGGAATGAGCTGACAAGCACGTGCTTGTAGCACAAAGTGTCCTTCCCACCCATGAACCTCGTGTCTGTTTCTCAGCATAGTGGTCCTGTATGTATGCAGGGAGCAACTGGACAAAGAAAATTTGTGCAACCCATTTTGCCCAAACAAAGGCAAGATGTGTTTGCCTAGATGCTTTATAAAGTGTTTTTTTATTTTTTCATTATCTAGTGCTGTTATATTGCTGTCAATAAAGCAGTTGGGATGCCTTGGGGCTAAGTTAAGACTTAAACCTACCATTGGGGCAGAGTGTGTTATCAGTGATGATTGGATAAGAGCAATCTAGAATGCCAAGATTTTATTTATTTCTCTTCTTTATTTTTGTAGAGGCAGGGGTCATGCCTTCCAAAGTGTGCTGCTAAATACTAAACCCATTGTGGTCACTTAATGTTGAACAAACACTGTTTCTAGTACCAACTTGAGTGTTTGTGTTTTGGCTTTTGACATCTTGTCATTGTGGCTACAAGTACTGTCAGGAGCACCTGGAAACCATCGACCCCACTTTAGGAGAAATAAAGACTTGGCTCAGTACACAGAAACCTCCAAAGCAGAAAAGGAGTTGGTCAGTCCCTTATGTGGAATCCTTTTCTGTTATTCTCACTTTTCTTTGTTGGTGGGGGTTTCTGTAGAGCCTTGCAGAATCTTTTATATAATTTTGAAAACCCCTGATCCATTTTCCTTCCCCTCCTCCTGGTCTACTGTTGTTTCTACCTACACAGCTCTTTGAGACTAAAGGTTTTGGGTTCTTCCTTAGGGCATGAAAGCTATGCAAGGCTGTGTTTCCTGTATGCAGCTGCCAAAAGCCATCTTCTACCTAGAAGATAATGATCATGGAGGATATTATAAGCTGTGAAGTGCCTTTTTAGTTTGCAAAGTACTATCACATGAGTTATTTTATTTGATATTTAGAACTATTCAGTGAGGCAGGTTGGCCAGGATTACAGGTGTAGTGACTTGCTTCTTAGTGAGTGGAAAAGCCAGGGTTGATTTTGGGCAGCAAAGCCCGTTCACTCTTATAAACAGGCCCCCACAAACCTTTTTTTTTTTTTTTTTAATCTGTGAGATTTGATTTTGAAATGTAATCACCTTAGAGGTAGGGAAAGCTGTGAAATGAGGTTATATCTGATGTATGTTGCAGAGTTTGTCTGGCTAAGCCTGACAGCCCCACCTGGGCTTTTCCATCTTGTACTTCTGCTCTCCTTGGACAGGACTATGCTGACACAGAGCTCCTGCTCTCCCGGGAGAACGTGGACCAGGAGGCCCTACTCAGTTATGCCCGAGAAGCAGCAGACTTCTCCACCCAGCAACAGCTGCCCTCTCTGGATTTTGCCATCAATCACTATGGGCAGCCCGATGTGGCCATGTTTGACTTTACTTGTATGTACGCCTCTGAGAATGCTGCCTTGGTACGGGAGCATAACGGACACCAGTTATTAGTGGCTCTGGTTGGGGACAGCCTCCTAGAGGTGAGTGCTAACAGTGGCTGCACTTAACTGTATAGGCCAAAGTAGTAAAACAGCAATAATGAGGAATAGCAAATCTGGGTATGGAGATTGTAGAGTGAGTGTCGACAGTGTCGGCAGACTTCATGCAGCAGTACACCAGCAAGGAGAGCGGATAGCAGTCCCCAGAGACCCAGGCTTGTTAAGTATGGGTGGAAATTCTGCAGTCTTTGTGGCTTGCCCCTCTTACCAGTTTATGAGGTACAGAAGTCCAGTGTCTGAACGAACAGTGGCCAAATACTCTTGTCAATAGTAAATTCTTTCTCTGTACCTTAGTTTAGCTTCCTTCTTTCAAAAGATGAGTTATTTTAACTTTGTTTTATATCTCTTTCACAGCCTTTCTGGCCAATGGGAACAGGTATAGCCCGGGGCTTTTTAGCTGCTATGGATTCTGCCTGGATGGTACGAAGTTGGTCTCTAGGAACCAGTCCCTTGGAAGTCCTGGCAGAGAGGTAATGGGAAGAAACCATAGATCCCTCTCAGGGGAAATCTGGGGGAAAAGGGAGTGGTTTATTCCTTAGGCTGAGTGCAAGTTCTTCCTTCTGTCCTTCTTATTAAAGATATTTTCATATTTAAGTAGAGGAAAGGCAAGATACTGTTTTATAAAATCATAGAAATAGAGACCTCAAGGTGATCTAATCTTACTGTTCTTCTCTTATTGTTCTCCAAATTCGATTTATTATTTGGGGCAGCATCTCATAATATAGCCCACAAATCCAAGATTCTCCTGCCTCAGCCTCCCAAATGTTCAGATTACAGGTATATACCACTGCACCTGGTAGATCCTCTTTAATCCAAGAAGATTTATATCAATGAGTCTAGTGTGATACGGGGTATGGTAATACAAGAAATTAAAAGCAACTGATTCAAAGGAAGCCACCAAACTGCTTGTAAATATTTCTTAAACCCCCAAATGTCAGATGTTTTGAAGCAGATTTTTATAAATGAAGCATAAAAACCCTCGGGTTTGCTTACTTATCAAGAACCTAATACCTTAACAGTAGAGATAAAGAGATGAAATTTCCTGGAAGATATTGGTAGTCAGTATTATTTTATTATTATTTTATAACTGTTTATTTAAGTCTGTTATTTAAGGCATTCTGGCTGAATGAGATGGAAAGTTCTTTTTTCACTTGAGTTTCTTAAAAATTATAGTAAATATTGGCACACTTCAAAAACAAACGGCTTTTTAAATTGGACCCAGGTATTTGTCACTGCCCACAGGTTGTCCCCGCTCTTCTCTTTGGCACTTCTCTACTCTAGTGCCTGTGGAATCACAGAGTGGTAGGTCTGGAGTGTAAGGCTAATAGAAGGTTTGTGGAAACTTACTACAGATGACGATTTGCTATATGTGTCAGATAATTTAACAGTCAAAACAGAAATATTGCAAAAGGAAAAGGCGCTATTTATGGTTCTTGTCACTGCTGAGTGCACTGTTGTGTTATTACAGGGAAAGCATTTATAGATTGCTGCCTCAGACCACCCCTGAGAATGTGAGCAAAAACTTCAGCCAATATAGCATCGACCCTGTCACTAGGTATCCCAATATCAATGTCAACTTCCTCCGGCCAAGCCAGGTAAGAAGAGTCTCCTGGTCATTTACGTATAATTCTGCCTATCTTCAGGATTGATCAGAATTCTGTATATCAAAATGTGTTTAACTATGTTTGATATTAAAATCATACACACTTTGTGTAATCCAAGTTCATGTGTTTCTGAATTGGTGAAAGTGTGTTGTTTTGCATGAATATATTGAGTAGCTAACGCATAGAGTTGTCGAAAGACTTGCAGAAGATCAAAAGTGACACAAGATGGGTATGATGTGCACATTTATAATCCCCACCCTCTCCAGAGGCTGAAATAAGAGGATTTCGAGTTTGAGGCTAGCCTGGGCTACATAGTGAAACCCTATTTCAAAAAGTAGAAAAAATAAATACATACAATGGCAAAATGGTGAACCTAGTTCATCCCCTGCCTCCTAATTCAAATCACACATTGTAGAGGAAAAGACTTTTGTTCAGTAGCCAGGAGATATGACTTCCACTTGTATTATCACCACTCGTCATTTCACTTTCTCTGGACCTCAGTTTTTCATCTGAGTGATGCAGATAAAAATCCCTGCCTACTCTCAGAATCATTGTGAGGGCAAATGAGATTGTTCACTTGAAAGGACTTTGAAAGATAAAGTATACCGTGTAAGTAGATGTATTGTTGCTGTTCTTAGGGTTTTGTACAGTGGAGTTGTTCCTCAAAATCTCTGTAAGCCTCATTACTCTATTAAGAAAGACATTTTACAATCCCAAAGAGTAGAACAAATTTTTAGGAAGAAACCAATTTGATATATATGTTCTAGAGTAACTTTTTATTCACCTTCTACCTGAAGCTTACACCTTTAGGTCTTCTGTACATGTATGTCATATAGTGTCCATAAAATCGGTTAGTGAGCAACTTTGATTGTCAATAGAGACTGTCTAGACAGACCTCCACTGTGCTAACTTCTGTCACAGCTTCTTCAATAGGTACTTCTTTCTATAGTTCCTGTCTCATTCCATAAAGGATTGAGTGGCCACACCATAATTTCTGTCTAAACTTTACCATGGGGCTGGGTTGTAGCTTAGTTTTAGAGCATATATGTTTAGCATGGGTAAGGCCCTGGGATCGATTCCCCAGCACCACCAAAAAATACAAGTGAACAAACAGACTTTAGCTAACCTGCTTTCCCAAACTTCCATTTTAGTCATTTTCCCTTTAGGTGGGATTTGTTACTTACTTTGATTTTCCTTCTTTTCAACTTCCTGCCAGGTGCGCCATTTATATGATACTGGAGAAACAAAAGATATTCATCTGGAAATGGAGAACATAGTGAATTCCCGAACTACCCCAAAGTTGACTCGCAATGGTGAGTTCTGGTAATGGCCTTTGCAAAAACTGTAACCCATTCAAAGAAGTCTTCACCCCTTCAGCCAGCCATTGCATGTGCATAGTACTGTTTAAGGCAGTGTTCTATAGCATGTGATTTTACCCTACAGGGGCCATTTGGTTGTGTCTGGGAACTTTCTTTTTTTTTGTCATGACTGGATTAGGTTTGCTACTGCCATTTAGAGGACAGAACTCAGGGATGTTGCTGAACGGCTTGCAATTCACAAGAGAGGTCCTCGCAACAAAATTTACCTTGGTTTAAGGCATTGAGGTATAGAAGCAAATCAGATACAGGGGAGATGTGTGTGTGTGTGTCTAGAAAGAGAGACAGACAGAGAGCGCTTGTTCACACCCATTCCATATATACACTTTTGGGAGAGACTTTATAGAGCATGTGGCATTTTAGCCAGGTCCTGTGATACTGCCATTGTACAGTGGTAAAATGTAAAGGCCATGCCATCCATATTTTGTGTATATGAAGGACCTCTACAGATTTTTTTTTTTTTTTTTTAAGGAGAGTGGGATTATGTACATTTGGTGAGCTATATGTAGGATAGACTGAGAAGGGAAGTACACCAGAGGCAGGAAAACTACTTAGAAATACTTTGCAGTAGTCAAACTACAGGTAGTAAAGACCTAGATCTGATATTGAACTGGGGATAGTAAAAGAGGAAGGCAGTGTATTGCAGTTAGATGAACTTGGACTTTGGGGCCACAAGCAACCAGATCCCCATCCAAGCTTTGCCATTTTCAAAATGTACGGCCTTGAACAGATTAATTGGCATATCTGAACATTCTTTTCCTTGTCTTTGAAATAGGAGTAACAATACCTCCCTCTTATTGCGGTCCATGAGGATGTGACATGTGTAGAGCACTTTTCACAATGCCTGGCATATGGTGGATGGTTAGAGACAGCAGCAGTTTTGTCAGTCCCGTTATTGGTTCTGTGAAAGAGAATATTAAGCAGCCAGAATTGATGGGCATTGGCAGCTGATTGCAGTTATGGGTAAGAGATAGGAATTTGTAATTGATATTGCATTAGTCTAAACAAGGAAGGGAAGGTGAGAGATTCAAGTTCTGTTTGGGAGCTTTGAATTTGACATGCTTGTGGAATATCAAGGTGGATGTAAGGACAAATGGGCAGTTGGAAACATCTTAATTTTTCTCCACTGGGATGTCGTCTCTTTGAGAGCAGAGGGCTGTTACTTTTTTAAAGACTGAGGTTCCCAGTACATATTGGATAGGCAGATATGTAGACTTGGGAAGCATCTGAGTAAAATCAGTGTCTGAGCCAAAAGATGGTACCAGAGAGATTCTGTGTATAGTCTTGACTGCATTTCCACTGTGAAAGACTCAACAGAGATTTTTATGATATGTGGTTTCTATCTTACATTCACAAATCACTAAATGACTTAGTGCAAAGACAAATATTTTCAACTGCCTTAGGGAAAAGAATATACTTTCTTGAACAGAAGAGGAGCTTGCATATTCTCTTGGATGATCCTCATCAGAGCTCTTCTGATGGGAGGCTGTTTGAGTTTTAGAAGGCATGTCAATGAGCTGGGCAGCATCCGAGTATATGTGTTTGCCTGTTCAGTGTCTCAGGATGTGATCATTTATAATATAAGGTGCTGATCTGGACCTGGGGATTATTCCGGTCTGGGGTCCTTGGCCTTGTCAGTGTCACTGCACAGCTTCTTCACTTGACATATTGCTCAGTATCTTAGAAAATGTGAGAGCAAGGCTTTGTTTGTTTTGCTGTTTAAGGTGTGGTAGATAGAATGGAACCTTTTCTAATCTAATCTCCCTGGTGTTGCTGTGAAAGAAAAGGCTTCCTCAGCCAGTTGCCAGGTAACTCTCCAGGGAGATCTTGAAGCTCTTGCCAGTGAGAGTGACAGCTAAGTCAGCAGACTGCTGCCATCTTTGTCAGTCTGCAGAAGGGACACCAGGACACAGCTGCAGCATGGCAGGTCCAGGGGATGAACACTGACCTTGGAGTCTGGATAAATTGGTACCTAAAGTTATACTGTTGTGATAATGAGTTACATAACTTCATGTTTTCTTTAGAAGCTCTTACTGACCATTTTGTCCCTACCCTCAGTACTTTTTCCATCTGGATATGAGTACTACAGAGAGGATCCTATGTCAGTGTTACTAGGTGACCACACTTCCAACAATTGTTTTTGTTGTTTTAGAGTCTGTAGCTCGTTCAAGCAAACTGTTGGGTTGGTGCCAAAGGCAGACAGATGGCTATGCAGGAGTAAATGTGACAGATCTCACCATGTCTTGGAAAAGTGGCCTGGCCCTATGTGCAATTATCCACAGATACCGCCCTGATCTGATGTAAGTTGTGACCAAACTTTGTATGTTATTTTATGTCCACCAAGGATCTCAGAGCATCCTGCTACCAAGTAGGTAAATTTTCTACTTTTTATTAGAATAAGATACATAATAAGATGGTTTCTCTAGAAGGCTGGGATTTTTATTTACTTATATTTCAAACTCCATGCATCAAGAGTTACATAGATAAACCCAGCAATGGTTAGCTGAATGTTTTAAAGCCACAGTATTGCAAAGGTCAAAAACGGGTTTTAACACCCACCTGAGCTTATTAGCTTCACACAAAAGAAAACTGTTTATTGGCCCTGGGTTGAACTCTTCATTTTGGCCAGCTATCTCTCAAATGCTATTGGTCACAAGGGAAACCTGGCTAGAACACTTGGCTAGCTCAAAACAAATATGTCACTGCCAATGAAACAGAAAACAATGAATACTTACCCAATTTATGATGGTTCTCTGGTGTTTTCTTTGTTAAGGGGACTTCACTTTTTACAAACATCCTCTGTTAAGCTCATGAAGCACAAGTAGTCTTATCCTCTACACAAGTTAGTATCTCCTTGTTTGCTGTTCTTCGACCCACCTATCTACAGAATCATTGCACAGGATAACCAGTGCAATTAGATTTCCCCCATAGGCATTTGTTACCATGGAAGCCAAACAGATTCAGAAGAAGCAGAGCATGTTGAGTTATTTTGGCTGCCTGTCTTTTTTATTATTAGATTCACTTAAGGGTCCACATTTTTGTTTGTTTTAATGATTGGTTAAGGAAACCTAAGAGAAATAGTTCGTAGTTATATGGCAGTTATAAGGTAACGAGGTAAGAGCTAGTAAAGACAGTCTTGCAGAGTGTGTATTAAAAATGAGGAGCATGTGTAGGGTCTCCAATACTCAACACCACAAAAAAAAAAAGCAAAAGGACTTAGCGTGTGGTGATGCACATCTATAATCCCTGCACTTGAGAGCTTGAGGTCAGCCTGAGCAACATAGTGAGGCCCTGTCTCAAAAAAAGAAAAAAAAAAAAAAAAAATGGAGGGCTGGGGGTTTTGGCTACTTAGTAGTAGAGTGCTTGCCTAGTTTGTACCAGGCCCTGGGTTCCATCCCCAGCAATGTAAAAATTCAAAGGGGGTGTATATAGGATTTCTTGTGTACTTGGATAAAATAAGTGATGTCATCCAAAAGTTAGAGAAGAGTACGTGAAAATGCTACATTTTTACCTCCACCAAAGAAAGGGAATGGGAACGGAGAGCAGCTTGAAAAGGTGACATATGACACAAAAGCACTTCCAAAGATGGGGAGGTAAGCCAGTTCTAGTGCAAAAGGAAGGCAGGGAAAAGAAAGGTGAAGGAAAAAGTAATGAGGGGACCTTATAGAGGATGGAGAGTGAATGTGGAGCAGAGGGGACACCTTCCTATTAGAACACTCCAAAAGTGGCCCGGAGAAGGCCCAAGGGAGTTATAGCAGACACAGAGCAGTGAATAGGTGATCTGGCACTGTTTTGACAACAGTGACTTCAATTAGATGAACATCCATAGGTCATTGGCTTTATCTGTAGACAAAAGTGATTGTTGAAAAATGGAAAAATGCCACGGGGTCAATTGGTTAATACAAAATAAGAGTGTGAGATTAATTGGAACTCACCTAAAGAAAAATGCAAGGAGTCATTACTCTGAATAGCTAAAAGCTTAAAACCTAGTGGGAGATGTTTGTTGATCTAGATACTTAGAAAAATGAGCAGTGGAAAAACCTTTTGAAGAAGGTTTGAAGTTTCCCCTCAGGAGAAAGCTGAGTAAGATTTACTGGAGCTGATAGGTCAAGGGTTGTCCCGGACTGTAGGGAGCAATCTGATCTGGATAGGATTTGTATCTATTAGACATTAGTTTCACAGGAGGTACAGGAGAATACATATTAAAGATAGTTCCCATCCTGAGCTTACATTTGTGTTACTTGAAAAATAAGAGTAGTCTTTTCAACTTTTCTCCTTTTTCCTTTACTAGGTAGGTCTCCAATCTTTTCTCCCTTGGATTATGTGCATTTCCTTAATTAGGACAGGAGAACAGGAAGCGAGATGAGCAGGTCTGCTCTCAGATCCAGTGATGATCTGCTCCTGGGGTCTAATCCAAAAACCAAGAAATGATGATGACCACATGGTCATCTGGTTTGAGGACAGTCAGCCCAACTTGATCCATTTTTCTTCATGTTTCTCAGAGATTTTGATTCTTTGGATGAGCAAAGTGTGGAGAAGAATAACCAGTTGGCCTTTGACATCGCTGAGAAGGAACTGGGCATCCCTCCCATCATGACAGGCAAGGACATGGCTTCGGTGGGGGAGCCTGACAAGCTGTCCATGGTGATGTACCTGACACAGTTCTACGAGATGTTCAAAGACTTGCTGTCCTCTGGTGGTAAGGGCCTTTGGCGTGCGGATGGAGTCTTGGATTCCTGCTGAGCTGTTGCTAGCTTTCCTCTCTTTCTTTCAACATTGTCCATCAGTACCACCACGCACAGTTCCACCAGCTCGGGCTTACACTGGTTTTATGGGTTGGCCATCAGCAGAAGTCTCTGGAACCTTGCTTCATTATTCTTCCCTTCTCCAGAAGTGTGTTTCAAACCACTCATTCTTTTCAGAATCTCCCACTTAACCTGTAAGCATGCAAAAATCATTACTGTCCAATTTTTTTTGTGGTGCTTGAAATTTGAATCCAGGACCTTGTGCTTGCTAAGTAAGTGCTCTACCACTCGAGACATAACCCTCCCCCTGCCCCACAGATATGCCAATCCCTTTTTACTTTAGCTATTTTGCAGTGTTTCACCATTTTGCTGGGGCAGGCTTTGGTCTGGGGTCCTCACCTGTGCCTACTGTGTAGCTGGAATTATAGGCAACCACCACCATACTGGACCTTAAACTTTTTTTTTCTTGACGGTATACAGCCTCTGTCTCAAACCCAGCTCTTCTGAGAAAGTGGTCCCTGCTATGGCCTCTATCTGCTCACTGCCTGAACTTAGAGACACTTCTTAGAAGAATTCCACTTCTCTCTCAGTTCTACCAAAATTGTTCTCAACTTTTAGAACAAATCCAATTCTTTTCTCAGTTCTCATCTCTCATACACTTGGCTGTTCTACACCAGTTAACACTGTAATGGTATCCTCTACCTTGGAGCTCTGTTTTCTCCTAGCTTCTGTGGTCCTGCACCTTACCAGATTCATTCTCCTTTCTTCTATAATTCTTCCCTCTCTGGCTCTTCTTGTGACTCCTAACTCTTAGGGTCCCCCAGAAATCTTTCCTTGACCCTCAACCTGCTGCCTCATTTAACATTCAGCAGTGGTATAAAAAGTCTTCCTGTTGCCATTGATTGTCCCTTGGAGTAAATGCAGTGTTGTGCTTGAGAGTGTTGACCATGATGTCTGACCTGGCTTTGCATCCCAGTATTTCCATTTGTTTGAAACCTTGGGCAACTTACTAAATTTCCTTATGCCTTAGTTTCCCCATATGTAAAATGGGGATAATGTATTTAATTACCTTGTGATAAGCTAAGAAGAATGTTTGGCAAATGGGGAGCACTTAATGTTAGCAATTCATCTTTAGTTTCAATTACTGTTTTAAAAATTACTGTTGCTATTAGCAAAGCATTGGAATCCACAAAGTTTATGGTGCCACTCTATAGCCTTTATACCCTTAAAGGCATCTCTGGCTTTTTCTGCTTGGATCTGCAGTTCTTACAACAGAAACCCGCAACTCTAACCTGAGCTTCCTCATTCACTGAGAGCTCCACATCCACCCAAACTGCCAACACTGAGCTACACATCTCTCCGCTCTTTTTTCTCCGTCTTCCTCCCTGTTCTGAAATTTCAATCAGCAAGTTGAGGCTTCGGAACTCTGCTGTAACTATCACAGGCAAATTCCAGCTCTTGAAAAGTGAAAGTACAGGTTTTTGTAACCTAAGTGGGGAAAAAGAGTTGGCTTTGTGTATATGAATGGGAAAAGAAGGCTCAATGTCTAGACCCAAGTGTGCATTTCCTTTTTGTCATTTCTTATGGAGATGTACGTGCTTTGTCCTAGTCAAGACCCTTTAGAGCTCCCTGGGATTCCTTCGGTTCCCCGGCAAGGGAGATTGGTTCTGGTCAGGACTTTGTGGCACCCTCCAGGGCCATCCTTGAACATTGCCAACTTCTGTTCACAGACACACTGGACTTGAATGCTGAGGAGAAAGCAGTCCTGATAGCAACCACCAAATCCCCCATCTCCTTCCTGAGCAAACTCGGACAGACCATCTCCCGGAAGCGTTCTCCCAAGGTATACTCATAGCTGAAGAGCCAATGGCAAGGTGTGTTGACCAGAATAATCCAGTTTCCCTTCTGTTTTGGTACAGGACAAAAAGGAAAAGGACTTGGATGGGGCTGGAAAGAGGAGAAAGACTAGTCAGTCAGAAGAGGTGAGATTTATCTGGGATTTGCAGAATAATTATACTGAGTTGTCCTTTTTGGTTTAAATTCTTAATTCCCAAGTTTGGTATTGCTGGATCTTTGCATATTTGTCCTTTACAAGAATTTCTGAGGGCAGATATTTTTTTCGGTGGGCTTTTGCCTTTGTTTAACTTTCTGGAGAGCACCCAGGAAACATGTACATGTGTATACTTGTGCCTTGTCTCTTTGGAATCATGTGTTTGATAAAGCACATTGGCTTCCTTGGGGTATAGTGGTGCCAACACAAGTCTTAGTGCTCCTGTAGTGCCTCAAGTCCCAGGGTCTTGCTCACTCTGTTCAGTGACTAGAGCCTTGAAGAATACTGTTAGGCTCAACCTAAAGCCGCCATATAGATCCTAACCATACTTCTTCAAGGGAAGGACATCTTGAGGACCCCATAATGGAGCTGTTCTTGGTGTTTGTTGTTGGGCAGGAGGAAGCTCCCCGGAACTGCAGAGCAGAAAGACCAACACTTGTGAGCACTCTGACTGACAGAAGGATGGATATTGCTGTTGGGAACCAGAACAAAGTGAAATACATGGCAACCCAGCTGCTGGCCAAATTTGAAGAGAACGCACCTGCACAGTCTGCTGGCATAAGGAGACAGGTAAGCCTGTCTCCCAAGTTGGCCAGGTCATACAGGAAAGAGGAGCTTCTTAATACAATGAGATGGGTCTTGCCACAGACCTTGGGCCTTGTGGGTTCACACCTAGGGTCTGTTTATTCCTTGTCTGACTGTGGCAGAGATAAGTGTTTCCTAAGCCTATGTTACACATTCAGGGCTGCTTTATCCTCAACTCAAGTCTGAGACATTTGTGAAAAAAATCAGCAGAGAGCTCTAAAAATGTTCATTTGTATCTATCTATTTATCTGTCTACCTATCTATCTATCTATCTTCACACACACATACATACATACATACATACATACTTGAAATATAAAAGAAGTATAAATCATAAAAGAAGCTGGGTGTGGTGGTGAGCACCTGAAATTCCTGCACTTGGAAAGCAGCGGCAGTAAGATCTTGAGTTTAAGGCCATCCTGCCTACATAGCAAGACCCTGTCTCAAAAAACAAACAACAACATCAAAAAATGCAGGCTCGTTGAGGGAAACCTGAAAAGTAGAAAGGAAATTTTGGCATCCATAATCCTATTGATATTTTGCTGCATTTCTTTTGGGCCTTTATTTTCAGTGCACTCGTGTTTTCTATTTTGTGCTTTTCACTTAGTCGTAGGAAAGACTTACTCCAAACTCTTTACAAGCATTCCTCACAGTGTGTGAGTATCATGATCTTAATCATTATTCTAATGTTGGATGTTTTAGTTGTTTCTCATCTTTCATGATAAGATACAGAGGTGAATATGATAAAGCTGCTTTGGTGTGGTGCAGATTTTTTTCCTAGGAAATTACTAGGAATGAAAACATTGTGGATACTGAATTACTCCTGAAGTCAGGCATGAGAGTCTAAATAGAGAAGTATCCATTGTAGGTCTTCTCTCTCTCTTGCTCGTGTAAAGGTCACTAAGATGTCTTACAAGAGGAGGGGTTGGGATTTTGAGGTTTACACTGCTGAAAATGTTTTACAAAACTTCCTTACAAGATTCCAAAGGACAGGAGTTCCATTGTCTTCATTCTGTCTCTCTCTCTTCATCTTCTCCACACTCAGGAGCCATCTTGCCTGCGTATCAGGTGGGTGGCACTGCCTTTGCTTGGCGTCGACCACAGTTAACTTCTCACATCTTGTCTTTGGTTATTAGTGTTTGCACTCCGGTTGTTTCAGGTTGCAGTTCACAGGAAAGATGACTGCACTGTGAGGCTTAGAGGCTGCTTAGAGGCCCTGGCAGCCCCGAGTTCCACCCACCTCAGGAGGCTGGGATGCCCTCTATTAGAGGAAGGTTGCCTCTACTAGAGGGTTGCTTTCCTTGTTTTGGGAGAAAAGATTAGTTTTCCAAATCAGAATTAGTGGTTTAGACTCACAGAGCATTGAGTTTGGGAAAAGGGTAACAAGAATGGCAACTTCTGTTTTCCTTATTTGTACTTGCTTTTGGCTTGGGAGAAGCTATTTTCTTTTCTTGTAAGTTTAACTATCTAAGAACTAATTCTGCCTACCTCCCCAACAGTTCATAGATGTATATAGATCTGTCCTCCAGGGTACCTTTTTTATATTCTCCTATCTTAATGTATTTTATTTTGTTTTGTCTCCATGTCCTGTCCCCCACCCACATATGACCTGTGTGTCACAGCCGACACAAGAGCGTGGGGTCAGCCAGCCGTCCTGTTGCCTGCCTGAGCAGGGTCGCCCTGCTCCCATCCCCCAGTGGAAACAGGTAAAGGAACTGCCCAGGGACCAGAGTGGGGGACTGCTGCCCCAGCCTTCCTACCCGCCTCCTGCTCCTGTCCCAGCCCATGTTCAGGCCTGCACTTGAGAATCCTAGCTTACAAGGACAGGAAGGCTCTGTGCTTATTCTGGGAAAGCATTTAATAGACAATGCTGATTTGAATCCATGATTCAGTTAACTCCTTAAGAGTAAACTGAGAAAACAGTTATGAGGACAAATTTAATTTGGTGTTGAAACTAACTGAAGCGATGTGGTAAATTTAGGTACTTTAGCCTCTAGGGCCTTGGGAGTGTGACATTTGTACCAAGTTGGCCTTTTGGTAGTATGTTTCCTTGTGACAATTGGATGCAGAATCCTGCCTTCCTCAGAACTTCCTGAGAACTGGGGCAGTTGAGCTGTCATATGAAATGGGAAAACGAAAGAAGTAGTGAAATACAATTTTGATTATTTCAAATTGTGGACAAAAGCATTCATGGGGTTTTATTTTCTTGGAGTTTTATCCACATTTAAAATATTCTTTTGGGGTGCTAGAGGTGTAGCTTAGTGGTAGCATGCTTGAAGCCCTGGGTTCCTTTCCCATATTGCAAAGAAAACAAAATACTGCCTGGCATGGTAGGGCATGGTAGGGCCTGGGTAGTGCATGCCTGTAATCTCAGTACTTGGGAGGCTGAGTTAGGAGGATCATGAGTTGAGGCCAGCCTGGGATACATAGCAAGACCCTCTCTCAAAACAAACAAACAAAAAACTCTGGGATTTTCAGTGAAACCTTTTCAGAATCCCCTGGAAAACTGCTTACCCTAAAAATACAGAAAAGAGATGATAATGGCACCTAGTTTACAGTAGGAAACCAGTCAGAGAGATTAGAAGCTGCTATTGTATTTTTCTCCCATGTGAGCATTGAGCAAGTTCCTGCTGTATGGAGTGGAGCTTGGATTGTCTTTCATGTAGCTGATGCCATGAGGTTGAACAGACTGCTGAGAGGTCAGATGAGCAGACCCTGGGTTCCATTCATGTCTTCCACACCTGGCCTTAACAGCCTCTTGAGCTTCAGAGTGGCCTCTGTTGTTGGGAATGGTGCATTGGGCCTTATTTAAATTATATTCACTGCTTTTAGAGCCTTATAAGAGTATGTCAAATGGAAGGCAAGGACCACGAAGCTGAGATGGAATCTTGGAGCAGTGTCCAAACTTCTCTTTTCTCTATGCCTGGGAGATATTCTGAGAAAAGTTCATCAAGAATTTACTTGGTAGAGCGAGGGGGTGAATTCATGTGTGATATGTTTGATACATTGTAGGAACCTGTATAAATGCAACAGTGTACCCCTACCTAGCACAACAGTAAAGGAAAAAAAAAGAATTGTGGCTAAGCACAGCAGCTCACACCTGTAGCTCCCACTGTTAGGGAAGCAGAGATCATCAGAAGGATCACAGTCTGAAGTCAGTCTGGTCAGAAAATGGGAGATCCTATCCTAAAGCAACAAAAGCAAAAGGAATAGGGGCATGACTCAAGTGGTAGAGCATCTGCCTAGCAAGTACTAGGCCCTGAGTTCAAATCCTAGTACTGCTTCTCTCTCTCCAAAAAGAATTTACTTGTGTTTTACTTTCTTACCCTTTCTCTAAGATTTGAAATGGGATTTTTAGTTGAGGATCTGCTGAGGGGAAGTGAACTGTAAACTAGAATCTAGAAACTGTAGTCTCTACTTCTGCCTATAAATGTGGCCTGAGATGGGATCAGAACAAGAGGGAAGTCAGGAAGGATCTCTGTGAGGAGTGGGCAGGTGGCTGTGTACAGCATGTGCCTGGCAGGGGAGTGTGGCTCAGGGAGCCTGCTGAGCCGAGGTCTCTGTCCTCCTGAAGACTAATCCATCAGCTTGAAGGGACTTCAGGAGCTTGGTTGTATGATGCTTCTTATGAACACTTCTTATTATGTTGGCCTATAGTATTGTGCAGGGTCCTATGTGAAGACTGTTGTTTGACCCAGCCTACACCTGCATCATTTATGGTCACAGTTAATGAAGTAGAGTGCTAGTAGGTTATGTGGGCAGCAGACTGGAACCATTAAAGTCAAACAGTGGTTCTACAAAGTGGACACCATACATTACAATTAGAAGAGCAGCCGGGCAGATAGATACATGAGACTTGGTTAGTAAGACCATGAGTAGTGAAAACCTTGTTAGATTCTTAAGAGATTTAGGTTACATAGAGTTGGGAACTGTAAACTTACATGGCTGCAGAGAGATAGCCTATGAAGTACCATACCTCACCATTTTTCTGTCCCTTTCTAATGCATAATACTCACATTCAATCTTTTTTCAACTCATAACTTACAGTTCCTGGCCCTCTGAATTTATCTCCTGAAAACTAGAGGTGGATGCAGTGCCAGGTGCTCCAGAGACTTGGGACAGAGGGGTTGGGCACCTGGGCCTTTGTATGTACTTGGCTGCAACAGCTGACCTATGGTCTCCCTTCAGGAACAGGGGGCTGATGGGCCACACCTTGTTATGACTCACTCTGTATTTCTCTTGAAGTGGTTCCCACCGAGGCAGGAGGGCGTGGCACACATGGCAGCCATGGCTGAGTTGGCAGGAGGATCCGTTCCAGCTTAGGTCATTGCATGGAAGAGGGAAATGAATAACAACTCTGCTGGCCAGATGCTTCTCTTCTGTATCTTCCTGTATAAACACTGCACCTCTTTCCTTCCCTCCCTTTTGCCTTTTGATCTCAGAAGCGTATCCCACAGGCAAATTACACATAAGCAGCCTAGTTTGGAAATAGGTTGTCATGTGAAATGGGAACAAACAGTGGATCTATTACCCTAGCCTATCAACTTCCATGGCTTTCTGCCCCCAGGCTGTATGCTGCCATTGGGCACAGGAAACAGAATTCCTTGGACGGTATCAGAGAGGCCTAGAGTAATGTGTGATTGTTTCTCAAACATCAAGAAGCTTTCTGAATCATAGACAGACTCACTAGGAAGGGAATGCACCAGGTGGGAAAAACCAGGAAAAAGCCATGGACATGTATATGGTATTTAGTTAGTAAAATATGCTACATTCTTAGATCCTGTTTCTTATGCTTTCTCGATTTTCTTGATAGTTTACTAGAACTTTTTAGTGCAAGTGAGGGGTGGGAAAGTGGGAGGCATTTCGTAGAATATTGTCAGATGGTTCTCAGGGGAGCGCTGCTTTGCTGCCTCAGGAGTGTGACCAAGCCATGGAAAAGTTACCTGGTACCCTCATCATGGTGGGCCTGTCTGCCTTTTCTCTTTCCTTATAATCAAGCCCATTTCTTTGTCCCCAACTTCCCTGATAAAGGCTTTATCCCTGGCATTTAAAAAGTGCTCTACCACAAATTCTTACCAGCTACATAGTTACCTATGTCATCTGTGCCTCACAGAAGATGCCAGTCCAACCTGGAGGCCAAGGGACCGTGATAAGCTACCCTCTGACTGCACAGTGATGTGCTGTGGAGGGCAGAGGGGTAAGAACAGGGCCTTTCAATGCCCCTTAACCCTATCAGAACCAGCCTTCACATGCCACTGTTTCAACGATGTTCTCTGTTTGTGTCTGTTGGTGTAAAAGCGACGGGAAAAGGAACGTTCTCGGACCTGCCCTAAAAAAGTGATCACACTCTGTCCTCCCCCTACTCCGCCTCCCTCTCGGGCATACAGTGGCCAGCAGGTGATCCTCTCTGCATGTTCTGTGTTTTGTCTGTCTCCCTGCCTGCCTGAGTAGAGACCAGTCTTTTCAAAGATAACTGTTACAGACCATTTGCAGAAACCATTTGCAGCAGAAGCAACTTTTATTGGCTACAAATAAGCAATTCCTAACTGGACCCCGGGACAGTGCACCAAACATTCAGACCCTAAACAGTTTAATCTAGTCTATATTACAGGATTACAGTTGTACAACCAGGAAGTAAAAGTGTAAACTGCATTTATTACATATCCAAGGCCTAAAAACCCTGAGAGCTACATTTTATAGAACCGCATTTAAATTAGCCCATTTTCTCTTCCTATATCCAATTCAATTTCTCTTCCTATATCATCCAATTAAGATGAACATTTGGAAGTCTCATAGATCCTCCTCTTGGGTTTGTTCCTTTTGATTTTCAGGGCCCTTCTTGGTTATAGCTTCTTCCAACAAACCTTCTCTATCTGGCCACTCACACAACAGGCAGCTCATCAAGAACTGCTTTATAGAACAGTCACAGACACAGCTATGGGGAACATGAACCTATGTTTATGGCAAGCACACTTATATAAATTGTGTTTATAGAATGCTTTGCTGACATTTGTTGTATATCCCTACAAAATAAAATGATAATTTTGAGGGCAGAATCTGTAGAAAGACATTTTCTCAATTAAGGTGGCCTATTTAAAAGGTGACCACTAGTAATGTATCTAGTTTTAAAGGTCCACCTCCTGTCCATGGGTCTAAAAACTGAGATAGGTATAGTAACAGTCCAGTGCCATGTCTCTAAGAGCTAAAAATTTGAGCACTTGCTATGATCCAGGCAGTGTTCTAAGTTCATTTCATTGTCTCAATCAGTTCTCACAACAACACTATGAGGCAGGCAAGTACTACTGTTATCTCCATTTTATAGACTGAGCCATAGGGGAGAGTGGCCAAGTATTTGTACAAGGCCTCAGGGTAAGTAAATAATGGAACCGGAACTGAATATGGGCCCTGTAACTCTGGAGCCCAAGCTTGGCCTCATCCTGCCTGTGGCAACATGCTCACAGGCACTGGATCAGTGTAGCCATGTGAGAAGTTATGGATAAGGTGAAAATCCTTAGTTATCCTTAGCGATGAGCGTGGTCTTCTTTCTTCACGATTGCTGTTAGTGTTTCCTCAGCTCAACAAGGCAGAGCTGTGCCTGTCTTACAGGTATCTGTGTCTTGCACACACCTATTCCTTTCTATTAACTGAGAATGTTTCTAATTTTTGTCTCTTATCTCCTGTAATAAATTATGACTGGTCCCATGTTTCTGTTCAAGGCCCACTCCTCTCCCTGGAGTTTCATCTGGGCTCTTGTGATGGCTATTTATTCCAGCCAGTTGCCATCTGTCCACCTTTCCTTTCTGATGCCTCACTATGGAAATCTTCACCCAGCAAACCTGCCTCTCTTCTAAACCTTGCATTGAATGCCTCTGATGTTCTGCCACCATGGGAGAAACATGTTTGTTCCCCCTGTGTACTAACCTTAGTTCTGTATTCATCTATGTAATTGAACTCACTGGAGGCCAAGTGGGCAGAATGGCTGTGCAAAAAATTGTCCCAGGTTGTGGGATTTGGTAAAGATGGGATTTTGGTTAGTTGGGCTGGACCAGTCGGGGAGGTTGAAAACAAACTCTGAATTTCTGGCACTGAGTTTCCCGCCATCACTTAGGTCCAAATAGAGCATTTGAATGGAGCTTAAGTTTCTACTTTGTTGCCAACAGACATACAGGGATCTTGATGCTGACAGCCGTGGCAAGCAGAGTCCCCGCCTTGAGAGGGTAAAAGAGCATGAACCTGTGGCATGGGATGCTGAGAGCCAAACAGATGGGGCACGCTGTGTGATGGGGCAGAGGGAAGGGAGGATGGGAATAGTCCCCTTGCCTCTTGCTTTTTGCACACTTGTCACCCAGCCAAGAGCCAGAACTCTTTGCTAACAATTTCAACCCATGCAAATAGCATTCACTATAGAGCATTCATCTGCCAGCATTCAAACTGGATGATAATCCTAAGTGTTTGTGTTTTCATAAAGGGCCTGGTGACTTCCCATTTTTGTCACCTTTCCCCATTCCATACTATACTACCTATATAACCAAAATATGTGCTGTGGTCTAGCGGCATTGATTACCAGGGAGAGCTTCTTAGAGGATCTAAGTCAATAAGCAAGTGTCACTTGATAGTCATGAATCTTGAAGAAGAAATACTAAAGGAGCCAGTGCTCTGAGCAGTGTGAGGAGTTTTCAGGCATGAAGAAGATTAGGAAAGGATGGTGATGGCAAGACGGGTACTTAGTGAAAAGCTATAGCTGGTCTTTTTTTAAAAACTAAGGAGAAGAATCACTGATTGTGATTAAATATAATTATTGAATAGCAGAGATACCCAGTTAAAGAAGGCTGCTTACCTTATGAAGCTTTGGTTGTTGTTATCCCTAGTCTTAAAGAAGATCTCCCTATAGGGAATATCTTTGCAGCCAGAATGAATTGTCTCTAGTTGGTAGTTTCACGTAACTCTTCCCTTTCATTTTTACCTCCCCTTCTGCCTTTGCTGCCTGAGAAGTGAAGTTTATGCCAAGCGGTAAATCAGGTTGCTTCTCAGATACATTAGGAAATTGATCCTGGCACTCTCTTCCTATGCCCTCTGACCATATTATCAGCAGGCATCTGTGTGCTGCCAGAATGAGGTGCTGGCTTGGAGAGAAGAATGGGGTCAAGGTGGAAAGTGGCTATCCTTTGCACCTCTACTGGCTGGGGTCTTCTTTGCTTCTGCTTGTTGGCACAGCCTTCTCCCACAAGCACCGTGTGCCAAGCTTCTTCCTCCTTTCCATGCTGCACTGTATTCCTCTCAAAAAGAAAAGTAGGGGCCAAGCATGGTAGCAAATGCCTATAATCCTGACTACTCAAGAGACAGAAGCAGGAGAATTGGGGTCTAAGGCCAGTCCCAGGCAAAAAGCATGAGACCCTATCTGAAAAACTAAAGCAAAAAGGGCTGAGGGGGCAAGGCTCAAGTGGTAGAGCACTTGCATAGCAAGCATGAGGCCCTGAATACGAGCAGAAGGAAAGGAAAAGTAGTCATTTTCATGGAGCAAGCCAGTACTGTACAATTTTGAGGAATGGATATTTAATGAGATGCTAATGTTTTTTAATAAAACGAGGTCTAAAAAAAAGAAGGGAGGGAAATATGTTGAGTAAAAAGAGATTGACTGGAGAAATAATTTAAAGTTGAGGGCTGCAATGCCAAGGTGAAAAAAGGTAGGGTTTGAAGCTCAAGAGGTAACAAGGTGTGCAGAGACTTTTATTTTTCCCTAGGAGCTGGATTCCTCAGTACAGGGTCCCAAGTGAGATGCTTTGAGAAAACACAGCTTATTCTTTTCCAGCACTTTCTCTCCACTGCTCTGTAGCCCTGCATGCACACTGCCCTGCTTTCTCTGGCCCACCTTCTATTCAACTCTTCCACTTCTCCATCAGCTCTGATCGCTCCACCACCCCAGAGGTGCTCGGTCCTCTTGTTTCCTTTTGGAGGGTAGTACTCATCAGCAGAGATAGTTCCTGCTCCCCTTCAGGCCTGTATAACTGACTTTACCCTTCACCCCACATGCTGAGCTCAGGGCCATAGAGCTGCTGAGCATCTGGAGCAGTGGCAAGCGGAACTAGCCACTCCAAGTTGTCACTTCTGTACTACTATGAAGTGAGTGTCAGCTGGATCTGCTCAATATTGACAGTAACTCTGTTCCTCCTGCCCTATAAATATTTCACCCTTGACCTAATGGGAAACAAACAATTACTGCTTGCTAAAGCTGTCAGCCACTTCACTCTGTGGGGACTGGAGTTCCTAGCTGCATGAGCCCACTGCAGAGGAAGATGCTGGCCTGCTTTTGCTGCACGTGCTGTGTGCAGTGTGCAGAGGGAAAGGGGGCTTCGTGTCTTGTCTTCTGATCATTGCTTGGAGCTTGGCTAGCTCCTTGGCAAGCAGAGCTTCCCTGAGTAGCAGCCATAGAAGGAAAAATTGCCACTTCCTGCCCATTATGCAGGAGCAGTAAGCTCAGCCCAGATACACTGTCTCTGTTATTTGTATGGTTAATGGATGATGGGATGGTGGCAGGATCTCTTTTGCTCAGGAGAATCCCCGCTTAGGAGAGCTCTCTGCAGAGCATTAGGGGCATGTATGACTGTAGTGCACAGCATTGCACACACCTGCCACCCAGAGGGCACCATTACCCACTTGGAGGATGTGTAGAGTAGGAACAAGGCTTTCACAGGGGTTCATAGCTCCAGGACCATGTTCCAGAGCTAGCGTCACTGTAATCACTGGGGAAGGATGAGTAAAAAGCAAATTGGAGCTGTGAGTGAGCCACTCATTCTTTTGGGAGTTCAAAGTACTTATTTACTGCATAAATTTTTCAGATACAGGTCTAGAGTGGAAAGGTCTAAAACTGTCAAATTTTATATATTCAGGGTATGACTTTTAACATTTCCTTTGACCTTTTTTCTCCATCTTATATTTTATAGCCAGAGCCTGAACCTTCTCGTCGATTTTTTGTCGACCAGTGGGAGCTTTCCCTTAGTCTCCGCTCCTCCCACCGCCCTGCCTCTCCCTCCTCCGACTCCCTCCGACAGGTAGCATGGCCTGAGTTCCCTCTTCAGTCTCTACTCACTCCACTCTCACATGCGTCACCCACCTGAGAGCAGATATGGAGGTCCTGACTTTGGCCTGTCTGCTGGGAAACTAGTCGTGTGGGTCTTTGTGTATGAGGACTGCAGCAGACACCTAATAATGAAAGAGGCTGCTAGCTTTCATTGAATGTTTAACATGGCTTTTTCTTACACTTCACATCTTCATAATCCTATGTGTTATGTAATACGACCATATTGTAACTACATCTCTTTAGTGGAATAATGAATACACATTCCGGGGGCCTCTTGACTTGTACTCATGTGTAGAATGAACCTTGCAAATTTCCATGGTGGTGCCGATCCTGCTATCAAGGAGTTTTTAGCAAGATCAGAGGACTTTTTGCCCCTTGTATTTGTGCTTCATATTCTTGTGCCAGGACCAGACCATGCAGTGTATGTGTGTGGAAGCATATGCATGTGTATGGTGTGCAGTGGCAGAAGTGCAGCAATTGCTACACTTCAACTGCTTCCTAAGAGTGAGGAGACAGAAGCCATCTGCTTTTCATGCCAGAAACAAAGAGTTGAGTCTTCAGCTGAGGGGGAGGGGCTTGCTTGTTATTGGCCACATCCCTGAGAACCGAATTGTGACAAACGCATCTGCACAAATGTGGGCAACCCCAGGCTGTAACTGCTAAGGGTGAGGGTTTCTGGTAAGGAGAGAAAGGTCCTGGCTGCACAGTGATGGTCCAGTGCTGTGCACTGTCCTGGCCTCACATTGACCATCTGCTTCACACACTCACTTGTCTGCTGCAGAATGAAACAAATGTAATTTTCTTCTCCCTCAGTGTCAATTCTCGAATGGCCTGCTCAGCTCTGCCTGGTGTCTGCCTGTTCCAGGCCTGAGTTTCTCCAGGGTCCCTAATCTAAAGAAGGTTTATATCTAAGAACCACTTGTTTTCCTCAACCACTAATGGATATAATCTGTGAAGTTGATGGGCAACTGGCATAAATACTTGACAATGTCCTTATTTTTGAGTTAGAAAATAGAATTAAGTCAGTGCTGTAGCTTAAGCCTATAATCCTTTCTACTTGGTGGGGGGACAGAGATCAGGAAGATTGTGGTTCAAGGTCAGACCAAGCAAAAAATTCTCAAGACCCCATCTCAACCAATGGCTGGACACGGTGGTGCTTGCCTGTCATCCCAGCTATGCGGGGAAGTGCAAATAGGAGAAATCCAGGCCAGCCTGGGCATAAAACAAGATTCTGTCTCAAAAATAACTGAGCAAAAAGGGCTAAGACATGGCTCAAGTGGAAGAACATCTGCATGACAAGTGCAAGGCCCTGAGTTCAAACTCCAGTACTGCCAAAAAGAAAGAAAAAATAACAGAGTTGATGCCTAGTTCCAGCTAAAAGTCTTGACTGAGCCAAGAGAGAATTGTTTTCTCATTTGTGGCTCTGTTGTTCCCAGATTTACAGAAAGCAGTCACCCCAGAGTGTTTCTCTTTCTTTGTCCCTACTCAGCCTGAACATGTTGTTACTTAGACCAGCAAACCTCTTACATGTGTCTTTACACATGTAATGAGGCCTTTCATGAGGAGGCTGTTGCCATCTCCAGGATGACTGTGCCTAGTGTGTTTCTGAATCCAAATTAGTCACAGCCTCACATGCTTTGCGGGGAGACCCTTTGTGTCCCATGGTTCAGTACATACTAGTGTCATGACCATCTCTGCCTGGAAAGTGACCCGGACAAGAAATCTCTAAAGGTCTTGCAGCATTGTTTTCCTAGAGATAGGGTCCAGTGCTGGGCCACCAGAGTGTCAGGCTTCTGGGTTTACCATGCAAATGTGGGAGTTTTCTCCTGTTGTCCCTTCAAAACTGACAAAATGGGATTGAATTAGTTGGATTTTTTTCTTTTACCTTTTTTCACCTTATAAAAATAATGCTTCCTGGGCCAGAAACACATTCTGACTTCTCAGGATTAGTTGAGCAACATGTCTACAGGGTGCAGCATGTGGCCAAAATGCCCCATGTGGTCTTAGGAGGCTTCTGGTCTCAGCACCTGGGCAGATCACATGGGTGCCATCATGCTGCTCTCAAACCCCATTAAATGTTGACAGGGAAATGGGCCAAGAAAACTTCTTCCAGCAGAGGCACTGTTTCCTATGTTTGTACACTTCCTGTCTTCTACCTTCTCATCCCAGAGCTATATCTAAAAGACTCCAAGGACCAAGTTCTCCCCTGCAGAAGATCATCTCCCACCACTGTTGCGCCTGCTGCTGACCCCCTGATGGACACTGACACAGTTTTTTGCTCACTGCCCAGTTTCCTTGCTTGTGGGCACTGTGTTGGCATGGTTTGCTGCTGCACTGTGTATTCATTTTATACCTTCCAAAAAATTTTTTTTCCTGTCTTCTTAATTTATTTTTTCCTTCTCATTTCCCTTCATTCTGGTCATTCTGTAATCTACAACCAATAGAAGTATATAAAGATGTACACAGGCGGAGTGAGCTCATTGGCTGAGCAGATAGCCAATCAGCTTCAAAGGAAAGAGCAGCCCAAAACCCTTCTAGACAAGAAGGAACTGGTAAGAGATATCCCAGGGGTATTTCCACTAACTGTGATACCACTATGGTGAACAACCCTGGTTTGTTCTATGGAGTTTAGTAACTTGTCTTCCCACTTATGTTACCAAGTGGTAATTCTTTTGAGGTTGCCTGAATTTTGATAACTGAATTTCTGAGACTTACACGTAGATATTTACAGCAGTGTGTGGGAAAACACAATGAATGTGTATTTGTGCTACTCTTCAAATAGTTGTCAGAATAATTTGGTTTGATTGTTATAAAATTCTGTAAATTTGGATCCTTTGTGAGAAGCAAATCTTGGTTGTTGATTGTAACTAATTTAGACCTCACCTTGTACAGGATTCTGGGAGGGGCTTGTGGGATGTTTCTACTGCCAGAATGTGCTGCTTTTCGAAAGAACCAAAAACGGAGCACACATAGCCAAATAATACTCGGGATTTGTCTCCAAACATAACCACCCAACACGGGTTGGCTTCATTTGCAGAGGGTTGGTCAACTCAGGGAGGCAACAAGAGGCCTTGCCCTGATGTGCTCCTTCCTTCCCTCTACTCCCACCCCACAGGGCTCCATAAAGAAGGAATTCCCACAGAACTTGGGGGGCAGTGACATGTGCTATTTCTGCCAGAAGCGGGTCTACGTGATGGAGAGGCTGAGTGCCGAGGGCAAGTTCTTCCACCGGAGCTGCTTCAAATGCGAGTACTGTGCCACCACCCTACGCCTCTCGGCCTACGCCTATGACATTGAAGATGGTGAGTCTGTCTGCACTTAAGGCTTAGAAGCTGTGCATGAGGGCATGTTTGTCCATTTGAGCTGGGAACCTGCAGGTCCTTGCTGCATTCTTCTCTGTGTGTTTTTATTGTGGTGGTGTTTGTTGTTTTTCTCACCCTTCCCATTTCTGTCCCTTCATTTTTTGGTTTTTCACTGAGACTCTTATAAATATTTTTCCAAAGTTGCCAGACTATTGTAGCATTACTTAGTCAGGATGGTAATGAGAATGACAGGTATTTACCTAGGCCATCTTGCTGATTTCACTTGTTGTGTTACCTTTGGTGGGGTCTTGAGGTAAAAGGGACACAGCAAGGACACATCCTGTTTTCTTTATGAAAGGTGAGTCACAAGTCCATTGAAGTCATGTTTCTTGCAAATGCCTGATGACAGTAATTTAAAACTAGATCCCAGGCTTCTGCCTTATGAAGCTGATTGGAATAAGCATGGTGTTGCCATCTTCCTCTGGGTTGAGCATCTTTATGCCCTGCACCTAAAGCATGGAGCACTCATTGACTCATTGCTGGGGGCGTCAGACTGCTTAACTGTGATCAAGGCCTGTGTCAGTGGCTGTTTTTACAGTGAAAAGATGTGTGTAAACAGCCAAATGAAGGCAGGCTGGCCTGGCCTACCATCTGAAGTCCCGTAAAGTTAGTGGAAATAGGTGCCTAAAGGTACTGATAACTCTTCCTTCCATTCCTATAAGATGCTGAAGGAACTTCGTGGGAGGGAGTTTTATTGGTTCAAAAGTAGTGAAGAGTCATAGATTATTAAGAGAGGAAAGTAAATCTTCTCCTAGTGGTGAGTGGGAGTGGTGTTAGGTCCATTGCACTAAAAAGTGATTTACTGACCCAGAAAAGATTGCAAGGTGATGAAATATGGGGGAGGGACCCCGTGCAATTAGGATGGTTACCCCAGTCATCCAGCCCTCCTTGTAATAACTAAGCAGGCAGCTCTTTCAGGAGCAAGAAAGGAGCCTCAAGTGGTAGAATTGATGGTTATTTAGGTAAAGAAAATAAATCGTTCCACTTTTCCAGCAACTTTGCTCTCTGAATAACACCTTTGATTATAGCAATGCGGCTTGGCAGATGGCACACCCTCCCCCCTTTGCTAAATCCTTAATGCTTTGGTTTTTTTAGTTTACTTTTTATCTTAGAATCTGCAACAATCTTCCTTATCTCAACCAGCAAAACCCCTTGTTCCTTCCTATTAATGCTTATACTGTCTCTACAACAAAATTAGAGATAAGGGGAAAATAGTTTCTGCTGGGTATTGGGGGGGGGGAGCGGGAGGGGGT